CACCTCTGTGGCATTGATCAATGTCGAACACTCATCTTGCAATTTTCTTTTCTCTCATCTCTTTCTTCTGCTTTTCTTGTCCAGTCGGTGTAGCATTTGGGAAATGTTTACTCTACCATCCCCTTACATTTTTAAAGTTTTTATTTGAAGGCATTTCCAAGTGTAGAGAATTACACGTTACCACCTCCCCACCTAGATTTCCCCATTTCTGCTTCAAAACTTAGACATTATACAGTTGAAGCCCCTATATATGCACCTCTAATGTTATTCACCTCCCTCCGCCTTCCTCAAAGATGGTTACTTAAAAGGTATCCACTACTTTGAAGTTGGTGTGTATTCCCAAGCACATTAGTACATTTTATACTTTTACTAAATGTATATTTTAAAAATTATAAAGGTATCAAACTGTCAATGTAACTTGCTTTCTCTCAATTAGTTTGAGACATGAGTTGTTCCAGTTCATTCATTTCAATGGATATATAGTATTCCATAAGATATAATTATTGTTGATAGACATTGTTTACAAACAATGCTGCAACATCCTTGCCGACTGTGTGTGTTAAATTCAGGAATGTGAAGTTCCAAGGTACGCTCATCACCTTCTCTAAATACAGCCAAATTGCTCCCCAAAATGGTTGTATCAATTTACACTCCCATAGCAGTTCATGAGAGCTCTCATTTCTTCTCATCCTTGCCAAAACTTGGGTAGCCAATTTAGATATTTTCCAGAATTCTGTGTTCAGCTCTCCTCTCATTCTATAATCTACCACTAATCTTACTCAATCAAGACTTCAATTAGAATTTCGAGCCAGGTTACATCCCAGACATATCTCACAGGTAACAAACAGGTGCCTCAAAAACGTGTGCCTCTTTCTATATACCAGCTGGTGCCATCGACAACCAACTTGACACTCATCCTAGACTCTTTTCTTTCCCTCCTTCTCACATCCAACCAAATTTACCTAGTTCACTAAAAAGAATAGACAATTAATCTGTGTCTGTGATAATTTGTGTATACCCTTCCCTCGGCCAGATAAATTTAATACACTGACGTAAGGCCCCCAAAAGCTTTGTTAACACTAAACTCCCTGTAATTACTGGTTATCATTTTGCTCACTGACATTAGCTGTCTTTCATTAAGATAACTGTTCGTTAGTAAATTAAATGTTTTAGCTATTTAAAAGGCAATTCTACTGAGCTAATTGCCAAAGTGAATGCTCACATTATGTTACGTTAGTATTATTTACAGACATATCCATATAACTTGGTAGAATAAACTGAGTCATTTCTGAGAATTGAAAAATGTAATTCGAAAGTAGGCCATATTTAAAAGACCTAGACTTCTACTATAAAGAGTACAACTGTCTAACAAGACAATTCAAGAATAAACTGTGACGTAATAGCCATGAAACACCACCCCAATGATTTCTAGCAATATTCAGTAAAAGTTAAGCGGCCACATTAATTTATACACACCAGTTGTTATACACACCAGTTGTTGTACTTAAAAAAGCTAGAGATTAAGCTTTTCCAGTTTTGCCTTTTTATCCTGTATTTTATCTAAATTTTAAAAATTTAGAAGATGCAAAGGCCTATTTAAATTTCCCAGTGAACTTTTGCCCTTTGAAGAGTCCCAAAACCCCTTTACCTGGGTTTGATACAATCAAAGCAAAAGTGTGGTTGAAAAGGTAAGGGTGACATCTTGGCAGTTACAAAAAAAAAAAGCTGCAATGTTGCCCTGTGATTTCCACCCCTTCAATAATGTCTCTAACATTCAGACAATTTAACAAAACCCCAGAATCATAAAGCTGAATCTTCTGGCTCCCTGCCCTCCCCTTACAGATGAAATACCACCCCCACAACAAAAAAAACAATACAAAAAACCCATCAAACCTGAAACCCAAATAGTGATGGAACCAGAGAATGCAAAACATGTAAAATTACTGACAAGTAACCCAAGGAGCCATTAGACACACACCCCTGAAGAAAAAGAAACCAGTCCTGCTTTTTAATAATTTTATTTGTTTCTAATTTTGTGTTACTTTAATTTCCCATAGCACCTTGGCAATGTTGAAAACAAAAATACAGATACAAGGATGTACTCATTTTAACATTTTATGCATGAGCATATGTCATACCTTTTTGTTTTTTGACAGTTTTGACAACAGGAACAATCCTAAAGCAATGGACAAAACAGAAACCAGATAACTGGTCTGACCTCCATCCCCCAACATTTAAGAGATGTCATTCAAGGGACACCTAAATTAGGTCAAAGTCAAAGTTGATGTTGATGTGATATGCTGCAAAACTGAAAACAGAGCTACTTTATACACAGTCTGTTGATATCTGCGTTGCACTTTCAGAAACTATCTACTGAAAGATTCATAAAGTTCTCAGCTTCTAAAAATAAACAAGTTATTTAATAATTGGGTGAATTTTAAAAGAGGATTTATTCTCAACTATAATTGAAAACAAATTCTTTTGACTTCTTAAAATGTCCTCATTCAGTTAATGAAAACTGAAATGCCTATGTATCTTCTTGGAAGCTCAGACTAGCTGCATAACATACACCAAAAAGCCTAAAGTTAAATTAGTGGCCACGAAATTATAATATAAAAAATTAGAAAAAAACAATATATTATAATTAAGATTTTATAAAAACCTATCAAGAGGCAATACACAACCTATCAAGAGGCTCCACCCTTTGTGTTTTCTGTAAATAAACTGGTACTTTTAAAATATGCTTAATACATATTGCCAACACAAATATCAGAGACTTAACCACAGTGTTGTTCAACTGTGTCAAAGTAGTAAAACCAGTGGATATTTAACCCAAGATACTAAATATTGAAGCCATAACTAAACTAGAGAAAGTGTTAAATAACTTTTAAATACTATTTTCTGCTCCAGCAATATCCTTGTTTTCCTTTACACTAGTGAAGATTCTAACACTCCACCATTAAGCCTTTTGCAAAGCCAACCTGGTTATTTAAAAAGAAAATGGAATGTAAAACAGTACTCCAGCTACCTTAATTTTAGGAATCAAAAATAAATAAAAATTCTGCATGCCATCTGATGACACGCAAATGAACATGAACATGTAAGACAACAAACCCATATTACCAGAAGACCTTCTCTTCCTCCAAAATCCAGTTAAAACATTTAGATGGATCACTATTTTGAATGCCAGTGTCTAAACTGGCAAAAAAGAAATTACTGATATTAGAGATAGGCCTAGATTTTATAAAACCGTAACAGGATAGAAAATGGAGATAGGGGTCTGCAAGGTCTCCATGCACCTTCTCTGTGAAACACAAGGCTATGAACCTGTGTGACTCTTTAGTCTCTTCATGCACTAAGAACTACAGCAGATCACTGTACCATACAAAATTCCTTTCAGAAATCTCATTTGTATCTATTTTTAGCCTCCAACAACCCAAGAAGTATTAAGTCATAAGGGTGAAGAGAGAAAGATTTGATATTGATATTCCTCCATCTAAAGAACCAAATAAATAGATAAACTATAATGAACTCCCTAAACCTCATCAATTGCAAGTTATGCTTAAAAAAACAAACAAACAAACAAAAAAAACCAATAGTTTCACACAACTCGTAGGTGTCATTTCAATACAAAACTTAAGTCTGCTGCAATAAAATAAACCCTAAATACATACTGTGAATATATATATAGTATATATATACACACACACACATACATACACATATTTATTCTTCCCTATACATCCCATCAAAAAGGGAATTATTAGATGTAATGAAGCAAATTAAATTAGATATGCTATATTTCATTAGAAATTAAAAAGTGGTCATGTCTTTAAATTCCTACTTTGAATAACACTGGGGGAAAAAAGAAGAACATAGTTGCTTTCTTAAAAAAAAAAAAAAGGACTCCTTTGTTTCAGTTAGAATCTTTACTTTTTTTTTAGAAGTTGGGTAGACTAAGTCACACAAGCATACAAGTAAAGCCTAAATCTGTGACACATTATTAAAAAAAAGTAATGTTTCATTTCAAGTGCAATAATTAAGTTTATAATCCTCAAGTGATTTTTATAAATTGTTTATTCTCCTAAATCCAATCCATTCACAGAGTGTTAACACTTTAAATGTGTACCATTCCCACCAACTGCAGCATCATCTAAGTAAACCAAAATGAGCACTTTTATTATAGATGTAATCAATGATTAACACTTTTTTGTAAAAGGACCTAAACTTCCCCAAATTTTAGCACAGGTAGTTTTATTGTATGTTTCATCCAGTAGATGATTTAAAAAATAGCATGGGGAAATGAATAGTTTCAAACTGCTTAAATATATATTATACCATGTTATCAATCTATCAAATCAAGAGCAATTGCTAAGCCGGGTAGTAAATTACAAAGAAAAGAGTAATTCTGGCTTATACAGAAATGTGCAGTGTGTACAAAGCTCTTAACAGTTACCTACTAACACAAATCTCCAAAGCTTAACTTAGAGTTGAAGATGAGTTTCACAGTAATGTAATTTTTAACCTCATTTACATTTATTTTAATATATTACTAAGATGTTTATTTTATGTCACAATGGTGCTTTCCAGTGTTCACAATTTACAGTTTCAGGTTGTACATAAGTAATTCACTAACATAAGGGAAAGTTATTACTATCATAAACTATCCCTAAAAAGAAAACAAAATCCCACCTTACACAGAACTCTGAACATTGTACGACTTAAAACAGATTAATGCAATGTGGTTTTTAATATTGTAGCCATTTTCTAAATACCAGCATGTAAACTTGCCTATTTAATATATAAGAGCTTCAACTTTATTGAGAGATTATGCATTAATTTTCTGAACCATCTTTCTGATCTTAGTTCAAAAATGTCATGACTTGCTGTTTCTGTCTCAGTGAATTCCAAACTGTATATATATATTTTTTTGAAAGGAGGGGAGGGAAGGAAGGTGATAAATATACTGTAAACAGAATTAAGATGACTTCAAATTAAACTTTTTTTTTTTTGTAACTTCTACACTATTTACCACTTTAAGAGTCAGTTACAATGTTTGCTCTTTAACCTTAACACAAATAAATTACCGTAGGGTCAGCCTGCCCTACCATTCTGGAATCTAGAGTTCTAAATATGTGAACACAAGAGTAAAATTCTTCAAAGTTTAATTCAGAAGTTTAGAACAGTTATATGATTTGACTAAACTAGTCAAAGCAGTTAGAAACATACAATTCTGTAGATGGTTAGTTATTTTGCTTTTGGGGTGGACAGTTAAAGTACAGAGAGTAACAAATGAATTAACAACCAAAAAAAGAGCTCCCTGTTTTAGAGAGGAAAAAAAAAAATCGCAGGTCAATTTAAACCTCTGAAGTCCATCTGACCTATTCACTGAGGTTTAAAATCAAATTTCCAATTTTTTACATACTCCTATTTTGTCCTTGAGTATCAAACTGGATGGTAGTCACATCTCCAAGTACAATCAGCTTAACAGCCTTGTTGAATGAAATATTAGTAAAATCAAAAAGACAGGCTAATTTCAAAATGGAAAAAAAAAATTTCTACTCAAGTATTACATTCGGTTTTCAAATCATTTACTAACATGACAACAGATTTGGCTTCAATCACTCTTGCACACACACCCACAACAAGCACCCCAGCCAATGATCTGCTTTGCAACACAGGGCCATACAGGCAGAGATGGCATTTTCCAAGCCAAACTTTAAATAGATTAAAAAAAGTAATTTCTAATTTTACAGAAATGCTTCTTCAAAAAATATTTTCTCTCAATCCCTCATCTCCTATACTGAAGGATGTGTAATACGTTTTTTCCCCAGCTAAATCTGAACCCTCAAAATTGATTCCAGGCAGAAAATCTCTGCAAATTAAAATCAGAAACAAAAATAGAAAAATTATATTTTTATATATGTATATATATATATATATATTTATACTGATTGGAATCCTCCAGCATTTTAAAATCACTTTAGAGATGAATTTTGGGATTCTACTGCTCACAACACCAAAATCCGTAATGATTTAAGGACTTACTTTCTCCTGTTCTCTTCCTGGCTGCTCCCTCCCCTCCAACAGTTCAGTATAGCCATGGCTCAAGTGTAATGGGAAGAGAGAGAAGATTTGAATAGTTTTTTTTTGTTTTGTTTTGTTTTTTACTTTGGTGATCTGGGTGGCACATACTGCTCTTTGCCATTACGTCGAGTCACTCCCTGAGGTATAGCCCTATGGCCAAACTGGCGTCTCTGTTCCCTGATTTTTCCAGCTGCTCCCCTGGGAATGATATTGCCTCGAAAGCCAGAATAATCCTTAGTAGCCCTTGCTTCCGGCTTCTCATGTGATTTCTCAACAGACTTCTCAGGGGCTCCATTCTCTTCATTTTTGATGGAAGACACTACATTGGAGCGAAGTTCCCGTAGTGGCTGCACAAGAACTGGAGATGGCTCTTTAGGGGGCTTCTGGCACACTTCAGCGTAACTTAACTTTCGAGGCTCCTTTGAAGTAATTGAAAAAAAAATTTATGGTACACATTTTCTAAATAATTAAATACAAAAAGGATCGTGTTAACCAACAAGAAAGCAGTAGTAAGTTATTTTCTCCAAAAGGGCAATAGGCACTCTCCTATACATTGTTATTAGAGTGTATTGGTAAAATCTTTAAAAAAAGTTTATTTGTTGAAAACAATAAAAAGCCTTAGCAATTTATCTATGATACAATAATTTCATTTGAAAAATTTACCCTAAGAATGATCATGTCAGCATTGTTTACAGTGACTAAAGAACTGGAAACAACCTCAATGTCTAACAAGAAAGGGCAGATTAAATTAAGAATGGTACATCTATATGATGAAATAAAATGGTTCCATGCTCTCTTCCCTGGTTACGAAGAACCTTGAAAGGGAATCTACAAGAACCTCTGCAGAGCAGGTAGATACCAATCATGTATTAACAGAAAATTAATTACACATCTTAGTTACTTTATCTGAAAAAGGAGGATAACGGGTGTTGTGGTAATAGGACAAAGCATGTAAAAAGTTTTTAGCACTGCCCCTAACATACGCTAGGCACTCAGTGAATGGTAGCTGCTATTCTACTATTACCATCATTATCAAATAACATAAAATGTTCTTAACCTATAAAAAGAAAGTTATGCTAGACAGTAGATAAGAATTATCTTAGGTGAAGGGAAGGACAACACACAATACAGGGGAAGTCAGTGTAACTGGACTAAACCAAAAGCTAAGAAGTTTCCTGAATATAACCAAACACTTTGAAGGACAGAGTAGCTGTGGCAGGGGTCTGGGGACCATGGTTTCAGGGGACATCTAGGTCAATTGGCATAACAAAGTTTATTAAGGAAATGTTCTGCACCCCACTTTGGTGAGTGGGTCTTAGAAGCTAGTGAGCAGCCATCTAAGATGCATCAATTGGTCCCAACTCACCTGGAGCAAAGAAGAATGAATAACACCAAAGACACAAGGAAAATATTAGCTCAAGAGACAGAAAGGGCCACATAAACCAGAGACTTCATCAGCCTGAGACCTGAAGAACTAGATGGTACCCGGCTACCACCAATGACCACCCTGACAGGGAACACAACAGAGAGTCCCTGATGGAGAAGGAGAAAAGTGGGGTACAGAACTCAAATTCTAGTAAAAAGACCAGACTTAATGGTCTGAGACTGGAGGGTCCCCAGAAGACATGGACCCCGGGCTGTTAGCCCAGAACTGAAACCATTCCCAAAACCAACTTTTCAGACAAAGATTAGACTGGACTATAAGACATAAAATGACACTCGTGAAGGAAGTACTTGTTAGCTCAAGTAGATACATGAGACTAAATGGGCAGCTCCTGTCAGGAGGCAAGATGAGAAGGCAAAAAGGGACAGGAACTGGTTAAATGGACACGGGAAATCCAGGGTGGAAAGGAGGAGAGCAACTAGGGTCACATAACAATGTGTGTATAAATTTTTGTACGAGAAACTAACTTGAACTGTAAACTTTCATTTAAAACACAATAAAAAAAGAAAAAAAGTTATGCTAAAATTCTACTAATTGTATCACTGAATAAAAAGGTCGTAAGTAAACCTTATGTCCCACCTCCATTTTTCTGTACTTTCCCAATTAAGAAACAATTCTGGACCTGGAATAAAAGTGGGAGTAGCCCTCATAGTTTTCACAAACTTGTTAAGCATCACAAATATAAACAGAATTGCAAGAAGTTCAAAGCCTCTTTACAGTAGTCCAAAATGACTAAATTTATCACAACCTGGGTAAAAAAGATGCTTCACTTAACCATAATATGATCAAGAAAAAAGCAATCAAAAGAAACAAAATGTACAGTAACTCCTTCATGCCTTCAACGTGGCTAACTTTCCCTATTCCTTCATCCGTACCTATTGCCGCTGAGTCAATTCCCACTTACAGCGACCCTACAGGACAGAGTAGAACTGCCCTGTAGAGTTTCCAAGAAAGCACCGGGTGGATCCCTTCACAGTGACCTTAAAGTCCTTTAGCTTCTGATGCAGGCATCTCTAATTTGTGCTATTTCCAAATGACTTTGCCCTAATAAAGAGTTATGTGGGGAAAAAAAACCTCTCCCATTAACTAATCTAGTATCTTTTTTCCTCACATATTAAACTCTTCATGTTACCTGTAGGGCCACAGCAACAGTTGCATTTATATTACTATTACTTGGTGAAGCAGTATTTGGCCTTGACGGCTTTGTACAAGCTGGGGAAGAAACTGGTGAAGTTGTCTGGTTGAGACTATCCTTCTGAACAGTGGATTCCTCTATTATATCCTTTTCTTGCTGAGTTGTGCTAAGGAAAAAAAGAGCTTAAAATTAGACTTAGTATAGCACACAGAACAGTTCAGCAACTGATCAGATGAGAAAGTAATCTTAATGTTGAAGATTTTCTACACCAAAACTTATACCTTAATGCAGGAAGCTCAGCTGTAGGTGGAGGACTTATACTGAGCTGCTGGGCAGAGCTGCAGTCTGTCTGCTCATCCTCTGCAGGCACTGGGCAACTAACTCTCAACTCTTCGTTATCCTTAAAGTAAAAAGATATTTCAAAATTTTATTTAAATAGACATTTCTTTAAAGAAGATATGCGAATAGCCAATAAGCACATGAAAAGATGCTCAACATCATTAGTCACTGGGAAATGAAAGTCAAGACCACAATGAAAAATCACTTCACATCCACTAGAATGGCTATTAAAAAAAATAAAAAATAAAAAAATCAGACAATAACAAGTGTTGGTGATGAGGTGGAAAAATTGGAACCCTCAAACACTGCTGGTAGGAATACAGAATTATCCAGGCACTTTAGAAAACAGCCTGGCAGTTCCTTAAAGTTAAACACAGAGTTGCCCAGCAATTGCACTCCTAGAGAAATGAAAACATATGTCAACACAGAAAACTTGTACACAAATGTTCATAGCAGCATTATTCATAATAGCTAAAAAGTGGACACAACGTAAATGTCCATCAACTGAGGAATGGATAAATGAAATGTCGTATAGATATATATCCGTACAACGGAATATTACTTGGCAATAAAAGGAATGAAGTACTTTATCCGTATAATATGGATGAACCTTGAAAATATGCTAAATGAAAAGAAGCCAGACACAAAAGGCCACATATTATTTGACTCCATTTATATGAAATGTTTAGAATAGGGAGAAAAGGGGGGGGAGGGAGAAAAGTGGGGGGAGGGACAGAGAGAGAGAAAAGAGGCTGTAATTCAACCACAGCCAGACCTTAATTATCTTAAAAAAAACTGTCTAGTCTAAAGGAAGGATTTTTACTTCTTTCTGAAAAATTTACAACAAATCCTTACGAGAGAAAGGCTACAGAGTTCTGGTTAAATATGGCAGATCAAACACAAATGTTCATCTTCTCTTAAAATATTCTGAAAATAAAAGTAAAGGAATGAGATAGAAAACAAAACAAACATACAAACAACAACCAAAAACAAACCCACAAAGATAACAGGGAAGGAGGTGACAGCAGATGAAAGAAACATTTTGGAAGATGTGAAACAAATGTTTAAGAAGAAGAAAAAGCTGAAATTGGAGGGCACTGAGAATATGCAAGTTGACTAGAGTTCCAGGACAACCGAAAGGCTTAGGGATGAGAAATATGAAGTCCCTCAAATCCAGGACGTAGGGTGAGACTGATAACAGAAAGACTGGTTGTAAATCTGTGTAAGAATCATTTAGACTTCAGATCTACTTCCCCTGTCCATGAAGCAAGGCAACTACATCCTACACCTTGGTAGAAAATAGGTGGTTTACACTATAGTAAGGTTAAAAAAGAAAGGCTCTGAGGAGAGATACATCAGACAAGCTAAGGATAGGAGTCAAGCAACAGACAAAAATGCGGTGATAAAATAACAGTTTGCATAGAGACTAGTGGATTCACTTCCAGCTTTCCACTGATCAGGCCCTCGAATGCTAGTAGCAAGCTTATACGACCCTAACAGGAGACTGGAGAATTCTTCTCTGTATTACTGGTGAGCTGTGTGGACCACCCATGATGAAACCCACTAGCTGAAAATCAGTATCGTTATGAACAGGCAGTCCCTGAGTTATGAACATCTGACCACTGAGTTGTACACTTTAAAATGGTTAAAACAGTGAATTTTGTGTTATACGAATTTTATCTCAATGAAAACAAACATGGATAAACAGTGATGGATCGCCACACAAATCAAATAGAAATAAACAGAAAAGAGAAACTAGAGAAAATGCAGGCAGAATATTTAAAAAAAAAAAAAAAAAAAAACAAACTAGATCCATGAAAAAGTTAAGACTGTAAAAAAAGAAACACTTAAAAAACTTAGAAATTAAAAATAAATGAAATAAAATTTTCAATAGTTTCAGAAGATAAGATTCAGGAAAACTTTATAGGAAATATAAACAAACACAAAGATAAACATTAGGAAAGCCAAAACAAGCAAATCAGAGGGTCAGCCAATAAGGTCCACTATCAAATTAAGAGTTCAAGAAAGAGAGGAAAAGAGAGGGGAGGAATTTATCAAAGAAATTATACAGGAAAATTTCTGAGAACTGAAGGATATGAGTTTCCAGATGAAGGGGCCCACCAAGCAGCCAGGTCAATGAATGAAAAGAGCCATACCAAGAGACAGCATCATGAAATTTCATGGAATAAATAAAAGATCCTAAAAGCCTCTAGAAAGAAAAAAACAGGTCACACAAAGGACCAAGAATCAGAATTTACTAGGATTCTCAGAAGAATTTTTGAGAGCTAGATCATTTCCTAAGCAAGATACAAAAAGAACAAACTGTAAAGGAAACACTGATAAAAATGACATTACATAGAACTGACAAAGGATTAGTATTCAGAATATATTTTTTTTAAAATTCCATGAATCTCTAAGAGACAATCCAATAGAAAAATATGTGCAAAATACTTGACTCTTTTACAAAAGAAGAAATTCAAATGGCCAATAAACACGAAACAATACTCATTAGTAATTAAATTTTTAAAAGAACATGTCCTATGACCCAGCAATTCCATTGCATATACCCTAGAAAAGCTCTTGCTCACAGGAACAGAAGATCTGAACATTCATAGCAGCATTGCTTATAATGACAAAAAAGGAAACAGCTCAACTATCCATCAACAGTAGAATGAATAAATGGTATAGTCTTACAATAGAATACAACAGTGTAAGATGAACTAACTATAGTCATCTGTATCAACAGTGATAAATCAAAAAAAATAAAGAGCTAAAGAAGTAACAGAAGAATACATACTGTAAGATTACATTTACACAGTATTTAAAAACAGACACACTAAATGATATCTTGTCTAGGGCAAGGGTTGGTAAATGGAGGCCTGCAGGCCAAATTCAATCTGGGGCTTATTTTGGTATGGCTTAGAACTAAGAATGGTTTGTCCATTTTTAAAGGGTTGTAAAAATTAACAAACTAAGAAAATGCAACAGGAACCGTTTGTGGCCTGCAAAGCCTGAAATATTTACTATCTAGGCTTTTACGAACCTTGCCAGCCCAGAATGGTAAAACTATAAAGAAAAGCAAAAGCAAGAAAATCATAAAGTTAGGATAATGTTTACCTTTAAGGGGAGAAACGAAGGGGAGGAAGAACTGTACTAGGGTAGGAATACATTTGGGGTTGCTAAGATTGTGCGTTGAGGTTATCAGGGGGAGGGCACTTTATTATTATTCCTTAAAAATGTATGTGTGTGTGAGAGACACCTCACCAAATCTGAGAAGCCATCGATTGTAAAACACACCATTATTTTATGTACCATTAAGAAAAAAACACTGCCACTTATACTATAACAGCTTACAATTATAAGACTGATTTTTAAAGGTGGTAAACATGAAAAAGTATATCTTAGAATTGACAAAATAACTACCATATTTCACTAGTTTTTTGAACAGGAAAACAATGGAATAATACCTTTAAAATTCTGAGGGAAACAGATTTTTAATCAAGAATTTTACACTACTAATCAAATTTTAAACTGCTAATGAAATGTGAGAGCAGAAAAACATTTTCAGAATATCAGCTCTCAAAACATTTATACCCCATAACCACTTCTTCATGAAGTGTTGGAAGATGTGACCCACCATAATGCTCGCGACTAAAACAAGAGTGGGAAGAAAGGGAATCTAACAAAGGAGAGGAAGGAAAATTCCCAGGATGACGGTGAAATAAAGTCTGATTAAAACAACTGTGCAGCAAGTCACTTAGAGTGTGCAAGAAAGGAAAGTAATCACAGTGTGCTATGAGGCTCAGCTATAAAAAAGAAAAGTAATACTGAGATGTGTTTTACAAAGGATGGCATGCCCTAATTCTAACTGGCAATGCTTTTTACTTTCTTAGTGGTACTAAAATAATGGGACATCTTATAATTGATTATATCTTAGATCTGATCTTAGATTTTATGCAATACAGTACACTGGAAGCATGGGAAAAGTTAAGTATGTTGGTTTAAGAGAGTTAAATTCTTAGCTTTTAGAATATAAAGTTAATAGAAAATGTCTAAAATTGAAAAATCAAGAAACAGCAATATAACAATATTAATTAGAAATACAGGAGTAAATGTCAATAGAAAAAGCTAAAAGAGTTGAAAGTGCTTGCAGGGCATTGCTGTTTCTCATTATAAGCCTAGATATACTATGTACATGTACTCTTACACTAAAAATAAAAACTGAATTAGAAAAAAAACATGGAAATGAGAAAAATTTGTGAGGCATGAGGATTTAGGATATAAAGAGGTCTACACGCTAAAGTATTATAGGACAGGGTACCCCAACCTTTTTGATACCTACTCTCCATTGTTTTAAAGACTGAGTTTACTAAACTAGCTTAGAATTCATTTAGGTAATTTGTTAATTATAGACACTTAGATGGAAATGACACCTTCTATTCAGTTTGTACTAATCTGTTCTACTAAGCTGAGCTGACTGGTACAAAGACATTCAAAAGTCAAGAAACATTTTATTGACCTCATATAGCTTTATCATAAATCTTTTTATAATACTCAAAGTATACTGAAAACTCCATGAATAAAAACTATGATAGAAATACATACTAAATGCAAATAAAAGTTAAATATTAAACTTGGTGGGGGGTGGGGTAGAGGGTTAAATATGGTTCCATAAGATAAGAGAGTAAGGAGCCCTGGCGGCAAGTTGGGCTGCTAACTGAAAGGCTGGCAGTTTGAACCCACCAGTAGCTCCACGGGAGACAGATGCGGCAGTCGGCTTCTGTAAAGATTTTACAGCCTTCGAAACCCTATGGGGCAGTTCTACTCTGTCCTACAGGCTTGCTATGTGTTAGAACTGACTACGGCAACCAGTTAAGGTAAGAGATCAGAGATAACCATACTGAATGTGTCAATGCGTCAGCTGTTTACCTTTTCTTTGTAGACACCTTTAACAACATCAGACATCCTACTCTCCAAAGAAAGTTCAGCCAGTGTTCTTGATGAACTTCCAGGTAAAGGAGGAAAATTTGAGGCTAATAGGTCAAACTTTGGTGTTGGAGCCTTTGCTTCAGCTGGTGAAGGATGGGGTCTCTAAAAGACAAATAACAAAACAGGTCATATGCCTCTCTCATTCTCTAATTCTGTACCACAGAAGCTGAAAGCTGTAAGAAAGAAAACAAAAACAATCACACACAAAAATGCACAGGATTGTCCCACTAAACATTCTCAGCTTCTCATCTCAGTTGAACTCTCATTACTCTCTTTATCCTATTTATCTGTAGTCAGCTCCCCATTCTCCTGTTTCCTTTTAGACTCTGCCACACTCCTTAAGTCTTCTAACCAATCTCCACTATTCTTTGCTGTCTTGATTTGCTATACTCATTTACATAACAAAAACAAAAATGCCATCTTACCTAAATTTTCTATCTTTTCTCCTTCCATAACCTCAAGAGAGAACAGTATCCTTCTTCCTTTTTATAACATGCTTGAAAATTTCCTCATCTTTCCTTTCCACCTACTATCATATACATCCAACTGACAAGTAGCTCTTATACTTCCTTCTCTGTACTTATCAATCCACTAAAACTGCTTTGGCAAGTCACTAATGCCTTCCACAATGCAAAATGTAACAGACACTTTACTTTTCCTGACCTGTCTATAGCATCTGGCATGCTAATCATTCTTTCCTTTGGGAGCTCATTCCTCCCTTAGCTTCCATGATACCTTTCTCTTGGTTCTTCTCAGATATGATGGCCACATGCTCTCCTCTCCCCCACACCCTTCAAAATTTGGTTATTACTATTTGACCTTGCTTATTACTCTATTTGGTTATTACTCTTTTGACTTTCCATACTCTCCTTGGGTGATATCCACTATCTATAGCTTTAACTACTACCTATATGCAAATGACCCTTAAAACAACACTTTTGCTTTTAGGGGTGATTGCAATGTTTTAAAATTATATTCTGATGATGGTTGCCCGACTTAGTAAATTTGCTAAAAATATCTGAATTCAAATATTTTCAGCCCAGACCTTTACCTGAAACCCAGATATCCATTTATTAGCCATTTCCACTCAGATTTCTCTTGGATATTTCAAACATACCAAATAATTTAATTTTTCAGCCCAAAGGTGTCTGTTCCTCAAGGTTCCACACCTGGCCCTCTTTAACCCTCACTCTACAAAGAGTTCCCAGTATTATCTCATCTACTCTTAACACTCAATTACTCCTGTATTAAGACAACAAATCCAAAATACTACCTCTAGTTCAGATCTCCCTCCTGTAAAAAGGCATGTCCACCATGCCCTCCTACTAGAAGGTATGCTTGTCTCCTTTTTATTCTCACCCAAACCGTCAATCCTCAATCCTTACATTTCCAATATATTAATGACACCCCAAATCTAATCTCCCCTTTCCCCAGTTGCTCAGGGCCACTTGAGGGCTACTGTGGACTGCTACCATGCCTTCCTAAAAACAATCATTACCTGAAGTCTTGCAGCTGCCCATGGGACAGAATGCTATCAACAAAAACCAACAGTTTCTTAAACAGTTTTCCCTAAAGACTATTTGTGTTATAATGCAGTACATTTTCTTCTCACTCCAAAATCTAGACGTGCAAAATAAGCATCATATTACACGTTTATGATATATATGTAAGTTCTAGGCTGGGTTTGCTTGAGACTCCCTACAGCATGTTTCTTCCTCAGTTCCTTTTGCTCCTCGTTAACAGACTGCAAACATTTGTCATGAACAAACCACGAAAAATAAACTATATGAATATGCTGAAGCTAGGGAAGATTCAAATAAAACCATGTCTACTACTGTAAGTAATTTTATCTAAAAGCTGATTTATGAGATTCATGTATGTTAAGAATCAGCAGTAGGTAGAAAACAGCCTCAAAATAACAATTAATCATCCAACTGAACTTTAAAAGTAAATGTTATAACCTATCTGATTGGCAAAAAAAATCATACACTCTCTAAGACTATGGACAAAGAGGAACTTTTCTTAATTGCTTGTGGGAATGAAAATTGGCACAATCCCTACAGAAGGCTATTTTGCAAAATGATTGAACTGTGAGCAATCCCACTTCTAAGAAGCCCTGGGGGCACGGTGGTTAAGAGTTCAGCTGTTAACGGAAAGATTGGGGGTTTGAATCTACCAGTTGTTATGTGGGAGAAAGATGTGGCAGAATGCTTCCATAAAGATTACAGCCTTGGTAACCCTATAGGGCGGTTCAACTCTGTCCTATAGAGTTGCTATGAGTCAGAATTGACTTGACGCCAATGGGTTTGGTTTTTTGGTTTAATCTCACTTCTGGTAATTCTCCTTCAGATATAATTGCACACATGGGAAATGCTTGTTGTATCAGGTTTATCACTGCACTGTTTGTAACAGCAGAGTTTGTAACAGGGTAAGATTGAAACTACTTAAATGTCCATCAATACAGTAATAATTAGTGTTTTTACCAATATAAAGTATTAAGCTATAAAAAATGAGGATAAACAAAATTAGACTAAGTGGGCATACCAACCAAAGGGCAAGGAAAAGAAGGCAGGAGGGGACAGGAAAGCTGGTAATGGGGAACCCAAGGTCCAGAAGGAGAGAGTCATGGGGTTGGCAACCAATGTCACAAAACAATACGTATATTAATTTTTAACGAGAAACTAATTTGCTCTGTAAACCTTCATCTAACATACAATTTAAAAAAGGTGGGGGGGAGATTACAGTCCTGGAAACTCTATGGGGCAGTTCTACTCTGTCCCACAGGGTCACTGTGAGTCCAACTTGACAGTAACAGGTTTTTTTTTGGGTCTTAAAAAGGCAGCACACAGTTTACCATTATTTTTCTAAGACAAGGAATACAAATTGCATTTACTTTAAAAAAAAAAAATATTGGGGGATCGTTTCAAGAGATAGATATTGTTTTATTTCTATCTAAATCCCTGACACACTCTGTAACACTCTTTGAAGAATTAAAAAAAAAAACAAAGTTGGTGTCTAATCGACCCCAACTCACAGCGATCCCATGTATGTCCGGGGAAAAAAAGAAAAAAGAGGATATTACGTACTGATATTGGAAGTATCTCTAAAGACAGACTTGGAAAACTTTTCATTGAAAATTTTTTCGTATTTTTTATTTTTAAACCAAGTAAATATATTAAATATTCAAATAATCTGAGTCAAACCCCTAAGTGTGTGTGGTTGAGAGTGGCTGGGTGGGCTAGTGATGGTGGTAGATGTTTTGGGGTCAAGCTTACACTCTACCTTCACTGGAAACTATAATCAATTAAAAACAAAAACAAAATAGAACAACCCAGTGCTAGGAAAGACAGACTACAAGTAAACTCTCTAGTAAATCACAAAAGTAAAAAAAGGAAAAACAAAAAACAAAAAAACCTGAAGAGATGTAATTAAAGGTAAAAATACTTACTGGGATTCTGTCATCTTCTCGTCGTCTTCGACCTCTGAAAAGAGTTTTCCTTTTAACAAAAGTGGAGGGTAACAACTCATAAATTTCTTCAAATATACACTTTCTATCAAAGCTACTGAATGAAATTCTACCTTGGAATTTTAAGTATCCATACTTTTGAAACTGAGGCTATTCTTCCATTGTTATTAAAAGACAAATATATTCTTCTGAAGGGATCCTGAGCTAATCTACCAAACACTTCACCCATAACCACCACCACCAAGTAAGCTGGGCCATATTTTTATTAGTAGTGCTCCTGCCACCCTAGAAGCATTCTAAGTTTCAGTTCTTTTGTTCTGGCAGGGTGGGCAATATATAATCCCACCTCTATAGTTCAGAAGTTAGGAGAAATGAAACTATAATGCAGATGGGCTATCTTATCTAAGCTGTAGTTTCTTCAGTGAGCTGTAAAGAATTTCAGAATAACTATAAACCTCTGATTCAGAGCTATATGAGGGTACTCTATATTTCTTAATAATGATAAGCATAACCATGTACAAATAAGTTAAAAAACAAACCAAAAAATACAACTCACCAGATCACAGTCTTCAAATATTCAGGATAATCACATTATGATCAAAGAATTCCTTACCTGCCTCTACCATAGTCTCCATTCTGTTCTATCTGCAATGTGGGAGTCTCCTTTGGAAGGTAAGTTTGGTCTTGATGCCCTGTTACTGTGGGGTTATGCCGTTCAGTTGGAAAGTTCCTTGAATTAGATCTATGCAATGGTCCATCCCCCAATGATACAGAGCCATCTGTTGAGTGTTCTGAACCACTGGATGGCCTAAAATGAGGCTTTACACTATAAGAAATATAAAATTATATATATCAAGACAGAAAACCCGTCCTCTTAATGGTAGAAATTCTTAATAATCCAATTTTAAAATTGTCTTCTGCTGATTTTCACAAACTAAGTTACAGATAAAAATATCAGATTGTGAAATTGTAACTCCTTTTATGTTCAAGACCTATTATTTTAAGAAGGTAAAAAAAAAAAATTTACATTAAAAGAAGTTATGTTTGGATAGATTTTTGGTAAAGACCCCAAGTTCTTTAAGGTAAAGCTACTTCTACATCAATACTCAGACTATAACTAGGATTTTAGCTGATGTCTTTAACATTAGTTGCAGTCTTGACAAGTCTAAATCAGGCAGACTTTAAGCTAATTTATGCATCTATAACATGCATTCTCAACAGGTACAATATTGCCCCTAAAAGGGAGTAAAAATTGGTTCTTGCAGAAGGGTGTGTGAAAAAATCTTACTCATTTTATGTGTAAGCACAGATATGCATACATTACATAAACAGATATACTGTATACCTATAGTCTAGGAAAAAAATGCCTAAGGCTCTTTAGGGAAGTGACAAATGAAAAAAAGGCTGAGAAACACTGGAATATGCTAAAATCCCAGTGCTTTTACTAAGCATCCATCACCAAAGGAAATTAGTTGTTTAAAGATCCATATGTAGGACAGGAAACTAGGAAAATACAGCAATACAATTAACAGCCTGGCATGACTTCATGAATTAAGATACACAAGCTGATAAAAAACTACTTCCAGCAGAAGTAGCTTTTATCTTGGATGATACATATAAACACTCAATTCCCTAAAAATTTATAGGCAAATGAAGTTAAGGTACAGTAATGCAGAGAGTGTGCAGTTTACCGCAACAGTGAAAACATCTAAAGTAAACATAAGCAACTGAGGATCCTGACTATACAGCAGATTAAAAAAGTGTAAGATTTGTCCCCTTGCTTTGCAGTTTATATACCCCATTTTTATAGTCTATTTTTATAGCTTTAAATTTGTAATATTCAATGGTATCCTACTTTACTCTCTCGACTGTTAATATCAAAACAAAGACAAAAATCAGGCTACAGAGTTAGGGCGAATTTCATATAAGATGACACTTTTTCAGATAATTATTTTATGTAACAAAATAGATTTTTAGTAGCAATGAAAATTACAATATGTCACCTAACACAAAGCAATTTTCAAAATATTTATATTATCCATATCTGAAAATGATCTTACATGGTAGATACGCTGTTGACCTATCTGTTCAGAAATGATCATTCATCTAAAATTTTACACTGCATTTCAACACACCTAACGGACAAGCTATTAGATTTAAACAGCCCTCAGATCTCATAATCTTACCCTTCACTGAGAGGATTTACAATCTTAGTCCAGACAAAAGAAAAAAAGAATAAAGAAAGAAGTGATAAAAGACAGAAAGAAAGAAGTAAAGCAGAAGATAAGGTAGAGAAATGCCTAGACTTCTGAAAGTCAATCCTATTCTCTCTAAGCAGACTGGTGATCGTCACTGGGCTGTCACAAGGTTAATATAAAACTTACAAAAGGGCTCTCTAAAAGCTACTTTCTCCTTAACTGATTTAAAAAAAGAATAAAGAACCAGCAGCAGTCACCTCTGAGAATCAAGAAGAAAAAGGATTGGGGTTGTTGGTCAAAAAGCACTGCAGTTTTATCTGTTACATCTTCATTTTTACAACAAGAAAGTATTCACGTATTATTTCTGTAAATAAAAATTAACAACCTGTACTGGTTTTAAATACATGGAAAAGCATGCTAAACCTGCTTTGTCTCTCAGAACCTACAGATATACCTGCTTATAAGCAAAGAGCCCTGGTGACGAAGTGGTTAAGAACTCAGGCTGCTGATGGAGTGGTCAGCAGTCTGAATCCACCAGCTGCTCCTTAGAAACCCTATAGGGCAGTTCTACTCTGGTCCTATGGGGTCTCTATGAGATGGAATCGGCTCGAAGGCACACAACAACAACAACGTAAGCAAAGATGATTTGACTGTCATTCTTGGCTTTCTTACTGTAATTTCACCCCTTCCAGCAAGAAAGCAGAGCAGACAAAAACAAGCGACATAAAGAATAATCATGAAGCCATCCAGTACATTTTAGTCTACTCCATATCAGATATCTATTCCACTTAACTGTTAAAGGCAAAACTCACCCCTTCAATGAAATGTATGTGAAATCAGCAGATACTTATTTTTACAAAGCTACTATTCTCAATCATGAGAAATCTGCATCTCCCCCATAAGAGAAGTTGTAAACTGTCATCTGCAGTAATGGAATTATTTTTAAGAAAAAACATGGCCAGCTTATGGTAGAGGAGAAGTAGATGTTCTAATCTCAGGCCTACCAATAACAGCTAGCTACGTAACCCTAGGCAAGGTATTTGTCCTCTTCAGCCTTCACTTTCTTCGTCTGTAAAATGAGTTAAAACTACATCAGAACAAAGGTCTTTCCAATTTTAAACACCACTGCCTCTATGTGCTCATGAAAATTAATTTTTTTGAATGACAGGGTGAAGGTTGGGAGACAATATGTGTATGAAGGCTCATTTTACTTCTATTCATATCTACTACCAATATTTGAATTTTGCAGTTAATTGCTACTGTATTACCAAACTAAAAGAGCCTTCTAAAAGGGCACAAAAAAACTTTTGCTTATAAAGATGCCTTCATTCTAATAATATGACATTTGATTTAATGTAACAAAAGAATTCACTTGAAACTTCATAAGGCCTTAAGACTGTGTACAGGTAGTAGAAATTTTCCTCATACTAAAAGGCTACTCATTCTCCAAAATGTTACCCAATTAACACACTAAACAGCATTTAAAACCAAAAACCTGTTGCTGTCGAGTTGATTCCAATTCATAGCAACCCTATAGGGTTTCCAAGACTGTAAGTCTTTATGGAAGCAGACTGCCACATCTTTCTCCTGCGGAGTGACTGGTAGGTTCGAACCACTGACCTTTTTGGTTTACAGTCAACTGCTTTAACCACTGTGCCAACAGGCTCCCTTAAATAGCATTTAGATACCAGATTTGTAAGTTAGGAATTGTTACCAGAAAATGTTTTTCTACTTTATTATTACTATTAAACAAAAATCAACATGTATCTTGTACAATCTGAGTCTCAAATCCTTTTTGCACCTATTATTAACACTGAGGCCAAAGTGTGTTTATGAATTCTAGATTGAATAGTTCACATCCTTTTTGGGTAAAAACTATTTCCTATTGACTTGTAAAACAAGCATAATGCTATTAACACAGTAACTCCTTAGGAACTATAGTGAATTTTTTAAAATAAAATTCCAGGTATGATTTTCATCTTACCGATTTTTTTGGAATGGTCGACTCATATTCACAGCAGCAGCAGCATTTGTTTTATAAGATCCTGGTGAATTAAAGCCATTCACAAAACTACCATTGGGAAAGGGAGCCTAAAAGAAAATTTTAATGTGTAAACAATATCAGTGGCAAAAGCAATATCTGGTATGAGGGTCATAAAGAAGCCTCTAATGAGCTAACCTCGCATCACATTTCTCCTCCAAGTTAAAAACAATTCAAAACATTTTGCTTATTCACTTTGGCAATATTCACTTGAGACACCACTTGATTTACTGAACAGCCAATCACTAGATCATTGTTTACTCAATGAAGAACATTCCTCTCTGAAAAGCATTTTAATTTATTCAAGACTTATCCAGTCCTTTCTCTCAATTCACTCAACATATTTTAAAAGATAAAATTATAGGAACCCACTTAGTCATATGCATACATTTGGTATAGGGGATAATATATCTATATTACTATTTAAAATCACTGAGTAACCAATATCAACACAAACCAAAGCAAAAAAATGAACTCCTATCTGATGATTCCTTCAAATTTCAGCCTAACATTTTTATTATTCTAGAAGAATCTCACTTACCAGTGGTGTTTCAAAGTAAGGTGCAGGACTTGGAGACCAAGACTGAGGCACAAGACTATAGACAGAGTATTGTTGGTGAGGATTATATACAGGTTGCATAAAGACTGGTGATGGATACTGTGCTTGAGTTTGAATGGGCTGACTATACACACTAGAATCCATTAATCGGTAACCATTCTTAGCAAAAAATGTATTGATGGCTTTTATCCTTGCCTAGAAGGAAGAGGAACACACTATAACAAAGAACTCTTAGTGTGCATTTTTACAAACATAATTTAATATAGTTACAAGTTTTACATGCTTTACTTGACTACCTATTTCTCCACAGTGTAGAATAAGTATAGCAAAAGGAAGTAACTGGTAGTTTTGAATAATTTTTTTAAAAGAAAGCTCTTGCATGGCAAAAACCACAATGAACAAAGTAAAAACGAAACAGAATATAAAAATAGTTGCAACTTACCACAGACAAGGAAGCAATATCCCTGATATATACATAAATTATAAAAATAGAGATGAAAAGGCCCAAAAATCCTACAGAATGGGCTATAGATATAAACATCCTCCCCACACACATACTCAGAAACAACTGAACAATAGGAAGTGGTTGAACAAACCATGATACACCCACAATACTGATAATCATGGTGATGTAGAAAGAATTGAGAGATAGCTGTAGATATTTCAATAATATACTCACAAGAGAAAAAAAAGAAGAAATTAGATTTAAAAAGATAAAGAAAAAAAGGAATCAGGAAAATATGAACAGTGACTGGGTGTTTGATAATGTTCAAGAAATTACTGTTCTTCAAAAAAATTTTTATTGTAGTGAAAATATATATAACAAAACATGCACTATCTCAACAATTTCTGCATGTACAATTTAGTAAGATTGATTACAGTCTTCAAGTTGTGTAACCATTCTTGCTATCCTTTTCAAAATCATTACACCACCATTAACATAACCTCAATGTCACCTAAGCAAATCCACCACCTTTCTCCCCTCCCCTGGTAAACACTAATAATGTTTGGTTTCTATATACTTGATGGTTTTATATAAGTGATATCATACAGTATCTATCCTGCTGGAACGGACTTATTTCACTCAGCATGATGTTTCCAAGGTTCATCCAGGCTGTGGCATACATCAGGGTTTCATTTCTCTTTACAGCTGAGCAGTACTCCACCATGTGTATATAGCACGTTTTGTTTATTCATGCATCTGTTTATTGTTCATTTTTAAAAGGATAATGATGATATTGTGGCTATGTTTTAAAGAATACCTAACTTAAAAGCTACTAGTATTAATTTATTTCCAGATAAAATTAAGTTTGTGACTTGTGTGAAAATAATTTGGGGTGGGAGGAAATGGGTGAGAATGTAGATGAAACAAGACTGGCCACACTCTACTAATTGTTAAAACTGGGTAATGAGTGCACAACTGTACATTTATACTATTTTCTCCGCTTTTATATATGTCTGAAATTTCCTGTAATAAGTTTAAAAAGAAAAAGGAAAGAAAAAAAACGCCCTAAAACTTAGTAAAAGAAACCAGCCCACTTATTTATGTAGCTGCTTTTGCCCTGTAACAGCAGAGTTGAGTAGCTGCAACAGACTTCACATGGCTGGCAAAGCCTATAATGTTTACTATCCTTTACAGAAAAATTTGCCAACCCCTATAACAACTAAAATATGAAGATGTGAGAGGTCTAGCCTAGGAACCAAAATCACATCAAGTTACTGGAAATATCAAATGAAATAATGCATGTTAAAGTATAAAACTACCATGTTAATAAAATGAATGAAAGTCATGTTTTCATACAGCTATGGGGCAGGAAACTCTAAAAATCAAATAAACTGTAACTATTCAAACTAGACTGAACAGACGTATTGACACTGGATTGACACAGTGGCTGCAATAATGGACTCAAACATATCAGGATTCTGAGGATGATGCAGGATCAGGCAACATTTTTTCTGTTATACATAAGGTCTCCATGAGTCAGAGCCTTCTCAACAGCATCTAACGACAATTCAAACTAGAAGAAATTTAAAAATGGCCATGTTTTAAAAAAAAACCCTTAAAATCTCAGATTGATTTTAATATGACCCAGAAAATAATTACAGCTATTGATTTTATCAAAGTAACATCACAGACCATCATTTATTTCAACCTTAAAATATTTTCTAAGGGAGTAAAACCAAGTACACAGCATTATTAAAAAATATATTGATATGGAGACCTTATTAAAAGGCAGATCATAGTTCACGATAGTTTTTAGCTTTAAACTGCTTATTTTCACACTTGGATAGAGTCTAAATTATTGATAAGGGGAGGAGCAGAAACAACAATTAAACAAAGATTTTAATTATTCACCAAAAGCTATGGAAATTGAACTGAGTTTTAAAAGATTTCACTCTAAAACTATAAACTCTCCAACTATAGTAATTATAACTGCTAAAATTTACATTCTACACAGAAAAAAAGGGAAATGCAAATTAAATCGTTAGAAATTTTGCTGTAAAAAACGAAGTAAAATATTAACAAGCACCATATTTTTACACAAATAACATGCACCTCCTATGTTTGTTTGCCAACCACTGCAAAAACATTAGCATAGTGTATTAATGAAAATAACTCACAGGGGGAGGGTACGGTTCACAAACAAATGTAGAAGGCACACGGTATTGTTGCTCAAGAACCAAATTCTAATTTTTAAATGGAAAAATAAGCACATGGAACGATTATCTGAACACCCTTGTTATGGACTGAATTGTGTCCCCCCAAAAGTTGCATCAACTTGGCTAGGCCATGATTACCAGTATTGTCCACCATTTTATGATCTGATGTGATTATCCTGTATGTTGTAAATCTTAACCTCTATGATGTTAATGAGGTGGGATTAGAGGCAGTTATGTTAATGAGACAGGACTCTATCTACAGGATTAGGCTATTTTGAGTCAATCTCCTTTGAGATATAAGAGATAATTGAGCAGAAAGGGAAGGGACCTCATGCCACCAGGAAAAAAGCTCCAGGAGTGAAGCGTATCCTTTGGACAAGGGGTCCCTGCACTGAGAAGCTCCTAGACAAGATGAAGACTGATGACAAGGACCTTTCCCCAGAACCAACATAGAGAGAAAGCATTCCCAGGGAGCTGGCACCCTGAATTTGGACTTCTAGCCTCCTAGACTATGAGAGGATAAATTTCTATTTGTTACAGCCATCCACTTGTGGTATTTCTGTTATAGCAGCACTAGATAACTAAGACAACCCTCTCCCCAAAAAAGAGAAATACTTAAAGAAAAAAAAATAATGCAGAAGTGAGCTTACAGCAAGTTATGGAAATGGGAGTGAGACAGGTTGGAAACTGGAAGAGAAAGATGAACATATAGGTAGACAATGTTAGTGCTTTGGATGCCTAGGTTCTTAAACTGGGGCCTATAATTAGTTTCTTTTGTAGTACACTATATTTTAATTCATTCATTTAAAATTTATTCTGAAAAAAGGTCCATAGGCTTCAACAGAAGGCCAAAAAGATCCATGGTACAAAAAAAGTTAAGAACTTGATACAACTATTGGTCTCTACTCATCCAGAGCAAAAGAGAAAGGAAACCAGACTCAAAGAAGAAACTAGCCTATAGAAACAACAGTCTACATAAACAATGACATCATCTACCTTGAGATCAGAAGAACTAGATGGTGCCTGGCTACCACTACTGACCATTCCAACCAGGGACTCAATAGATAGTCCCGGACAGAATGGGAGAAAAATGTAGAACAAAACGAAATTCCTAAAAAACAAAAAGGCCAGACTTACTGGACCAGTAGAGATTAGATGATCCCCCAAGACTATCATCCTGAGACACTCTTTAAACTTGGAACTCAAACCACTCCCAGAGGTCACCTTTCAGCCAAATAACAGATTGGCCCATAAAATAAATACAATCACCTGTGAGTAATGTGCTTCTCAAAATAATCATCTAGATGAAACCAAATGCTAAACATTTACCCTAGACCAAAGATGAGAAGGCAAGGGGGAACACGGAAGCAACATTAATGGAAACAGACCAATCAAAATGGAAATGGTAACAAGAATGTTGATACATTGTGAAGAATGTAACCAGTGTCACTGAACAATATGAGAAGTTAATTTCCTGTGTAAACTTTCACCCAAAACGCCATAAAATATTAAATAATAATAATAAAATGAACCTTAGGAAAAGAGGAATTATCCATCTCCATAAATAAGGGGCTTGTGCTTTAAGGGCCACGAGATAGGAGACAAGGTCTTTTCTAGGGCAGGGAATTAGAAGTGAGACTCCTCCACCCTTTCATAAAGCTATACTTCCAAAGGATGGTGGTGCTGGTGGGGGTAGGGAATCCACTTACCAGCAAAAGGAGACAACAAGGAAGCGTGCTTATCTTAGCCTGGGTTCTCTGAGGAGTGGTGGAATTCTTCCTTGAAAATTTGGAAAAAAGGACCTAGCTTTAAACTGGAGTTTCCTTACCTGAGTGGTTTGGGAATGCCCAAGCTGAGATAGTGACATGAAAAGTGGTTTCAGGCTGGTTAATACCCCTGCCCCTCTGGAAAAAACCTGCTCTTAATTCAGGCTCTAGACATGCCCAGCCAAACAGTTCACAATCCAAAATTTTAAGCAAAAAGATACAAAGGGAAGGAAAACAAAAAGGTACAATCCACTATGAGTGACAACAGAAAAAAACACAACCGAAAACCTCAAAGAACTCAAGATAACAGCATTATCAGAGAGGAACCAAAAAGGGTTTTAAAAGAAAGAATAAAATACACAATGGAACATAAAACAAAAACAAACAAAAAACAGTGTAAGAATAATGAAACAGGAGTTCTAAAAATGAAATACTATCACTGAAATTTAAAGAATAGGTGCACCTGACCCAAGTCACAGTGTTTTCAAACACCTCATATGCATGCGAAAGCTGGGCAATGAATAAGGAAGACCGAAGAAGAATCGATGCCTTTGAATTATTGTGTTGGTGAAGAATACTGAATATTTCATAGACATCCAAAAGAACGAACAAATCTGTCTTGGAAGAAGTACAGCCAGAACACTCGTTAAAAGCGAGGATGGCGAGACCTCATCTCACATACTTTGGACATGTTATCAAGAGGGACCAGTCCCTGGAGAAGGACATCGTGCTTGGTAAAGTAGAGGGTCAGTGAAAAAGAGGAAGACT